TGTTTCTGTTTGGGATAAGGTGATCCAACGGGTCCTACTAAAATTGGATCTTTGGAAACCAAAGTATCCATCGCTAGGTGGGAGAACCAGACTGCTTCAATCCTGTATGGCCAACTTACTAATTTATCAAATGTCTATTATCCACATGCCTCAATTAATGGTCTAGAAAATAAGAAGGATGATGAGAAACATTTTTTGGGGAACTTGTGGAGAAGAGCTGAAGTACCATTTGTTGAGGTAGGATAAAGGTTGTACCCCAAAAGCGAGGAAGGCTTGGGATTAAGAAGGATCAAATTGGTTAATCAAATCATCTTTTGCAAATTGTGGTGGGACAAGCTTTCTCTTTAAGGATTGCAAATTGTGGTGGACAAGCTTTCTCTTTAAGGATCAGCTATGGTTTAAAGTACTTGCAGCCAAATACGATTTGGATAGACAAGGTACCTGGATCGAAAGTGGAAAGGGAGGTGAAGTTTCTAGTCTGCAACCCTATCACTCTCTGCAGGCCTCTGGTTGCAAGAAACTTTAGATGGATTATTGACAATGGTACTCATATCTCCTTTTGGCATCATAAATGGGCCAGAGAGTACCCGTTATGATGTTCCCTAAGATTTTTGAGAAGGTGAATAATCATAATGTAAAGGTTTCAGAAGTTTTTGAAGGAGGTGGTAACTTTGTCACTCGGAATATAACTTTTCCCTTTAATAGACTTCGAGAAGAGATGATCTAGGAGCTAACCTCCTTGCTAGAAATTCTAAATGAAATGTATGTTCCGTTAAACTTAAAAGATTAGGTTTGATGGAATGTTGAAAGTAATGGACTTTTTTCAGTAAAATCATGCTATAAACTGTTCTTTCATGATCGTTGGCAATGGTCGATGCCCCAAATTGCACAAATCTGGAAGTAGCCTATCCTACACAAAGTGCAAATCTTTATTTGGTTGGCTGCTCAAAATAAATTACTAACCATTGATAATCTTATTAAAAGAAGTAAGATCTTACCTAATATTTGCCTATTGTGCAAGGAAGAAGTGGAATATGGGGCCCATTTATTTTTATATTGCCGCTTTGCTAATAAGATCTGGTGGTGGTTTCTTTCTCTTTTGGGCATATGCCTACCGGTACCCCATTCGATATTGGGTGTTGTTACCCAACTTTCTATTATGGATTTACCAAAAAATGGCAAAGCTATTTGGAAGATCACAAGAGGGGTGACTATGTGGGAGACATGGAAGGAAAGAAATCATAGAACCTTTGAAGGAGTATGTATGAATGAGGAAATATTTTGGAATAGAATTATACATATCATTTGGTGTTGGCTGGCAACACTAAAGAAGGATGCGGTATAGCTGAGTTTGATGTGATGATCAACTTGAAAAATATTATGGCTACAGGAATCACAAGGATTAGATTTAGGAGTGTTTGGACTCCTCCATCACAAGGTATATTGAAATTAAATTTTGATGGGATTTCGCTTGGCAACCCAAGATTGGCAGTTATAAGAGGGGTTGTGTGATACTGCAATGGCTAGGTCATATTTACATATGTAGGGCCTATAGGCATAGCCACTACAAATAGTATGGAAATGCAGACAAATAGTGCAGAAATGCAAGCCTATAGGCATAGCCATTCCATGGGTTACATATTTTTCATAATCGAAATTTGAGAAACTGCTATGAGGTGGAAGGAGATTCTTTGAATGCAATCCAATGGTGTCGCAAAAAACAAAAGGTACCATGGGAACAGAAGTCGGTTTGGATGCAGATTGTCAATATGATTGTCGGAATGTCTGTTTCCTTTATGTTTACAAGGAGGCTAACTCTTTACCTGATTCTTTGGCTAAGGAGTATGCATCTCTATCTTCTTTTTTTGTTACAGATGTTGTAATCCCTCTTGGGTAACTCGCTCTTTCAATAAAATTTTATAATATTTGTCAAAAAACAAAAAAAAAAACCTTCTAATGATACACTTACCTCGTTCTAGGAAAGATTAGAGGAAACTTCTATTGCAAAAAATTTGAAAAATATTAGAAGAACAAACTTCTACTACAAAGAAACTATTCAACAAAGAGAAAACCCTTGTAAAAACATAGACTATTTAACAAAGAGAAAACCTCTATTATAACATGTACTTAGTTTTAGAAAATTTATTTTCCTCTCTAGTCACGTATATTCTCATTTCTCTTTCCGCACTAAAATCTATCCATATATCCTTATCTCCATCTTTTTTTCCACCTTCCTAAAATCTTTCTTGTAGGTAGCACACATTAATTTAAGAAAAATTCCAGCGCTATACGAATATATAGTTAAAAGAATGTCTCCTACAACCTCTATAGAATTAGGGTCCTTTCTTATTTTTGCGACACATGCCACCCCTTAACTCTGGTTTAATAATGTTGTATATAGAGAATTTTCAAAAACAAAGAATATTATAATTCTTGACTGCATAAAAATAATTTAATCATCGCCATATATTTATAATTAAATAGTTATGAATCACAAGTGTAAAACGGTTCATATCTAGATATCTAAAGGAAAATATTTATATAAGGTTGCAACCTTAAAATGTAGAATTACAGATGCACCTCAAAAATCCATCGAAAAAGGTCGTTTTAATATTGAAAAACCTTCTAAGTGATCATCTCAACATCGCGATGTATGAATAGGAAAGAAAAAATATTTTGAGTCCCAGAAACAGTGCACCTTGCAACACATTATCTGGACCGTCCAATTTCAAGATTTTTATACGTTTATAGATCTACTTGATTTTTACTATTTTTGGAGTTTAAAATTTTATAATTAGATATGAAAATAGATTTTGAGATAATCCTGAGAATATTTTACATTTACATTAAAATTACATATGATAAAATTTGGAGGTGCACCTTATTTGGATTGTTTAAGGTTGCAATCTTATAAAAACCACACCCATTTCTAAAATGATAAATAATATTCTTTTTTTTAACTTGATAAATAATATTTTAAGATGAGCATATATTACTTGATTTTGCTTTTATCACATGCGATTCCCACTTATCCAAATTAAGAATTGTAAAATAAGAAAGTGCCTTATTTTAAATGAGTATAATAGAATTCCCAATAATAATAAGACTCCCCTACTATCTCTGTTTTTTTAATCTATCTAGCTTGTAGCTTTATAAATTTCCGATACATCTCTCTTAACACCCCAAAGAACAAGAGAGAAAGGAGGAGAGAGAAATAACTGATAAACAAAATAAATTTGAATATATTTTCGTATTAGATGATTTGAAAATTTCTTAAATTCTTTTTAAAAGATATAGATAGATGGATTACGTATGGGACCTGGTTTCTATGCGGCTGCATATGTAGAAATGCAGGACTCTTAATATAAATCTATTTTTGAGATGGATTTTAAGATTTACTTTTTAAAGACATGTAATCTCTAACATGGAGATCATGAATATGAATAAATAAATAAATTTTTAAAACTAAAAATAATAATTTTAGTAAGAAAACATTTGAACCGTTAATTTCTATTGTTTTTAAATGGAACACCTACTTGCGTCCATCTTTAAAATGGATGTTTTACACTTTCTGGACTACATACGTAGAAATGTGGTCCAACCCGCATAAAACAATTTTCCTTACGTATGTGATGATCTCAATTTAGCAGAGGAAATACAGAAATTACAGCACCAAAGGCAATAAGGCCGGCAGGGAAGCTTACACAGAAACTACTGAGGCCCGGCCGATTGCCACCCCTAAGGCCAAAACCTAATTCCTCATCTTTTGAATGATCTTGTACCAACAAAAAGAAAAATGAATAAAATTAAACCAATGATCATATTCTGTCTACAAGAGTATTTGGCTTGAGGTCTAAACTGTAGTGAACGAATCTCTTCCCATTACAGTGGTGGGAAAGGTTTCCACGCTTCCCCTAGAGCATAGAAGTCTTATCTTCCCCCTACCATACAGCCGTCCAATTTTGATCAAGCAAGACACTCATCGTTTGATCTTAGATCCGACGTCTGAAAATATTTTATTTTTAATGTTTTTTATACAAATTAAATAAATATGAAATTTGGTACATACCATCTTCTCATTGGGGCACACCTATAAAAAAAATATTAAAAATTATTTTTCAATAAAACATCTCAAAGTATTTTATTTTTAATTTTTTATATAAATTGTATAAATATGAAATTTGATACGCACCATCTTCTCATTGGGGTGTTCCTATAAAAAATATTAAAACTTATTTTTTGATAAAATATAAAAACCAAAATACCCCTTGAAACTTTTAGAGGTATTTTGATCATTTTATTTTATTAAAAAGATTTTTTTTATATTTTTCACTAATGGGAGTTTAATAAAAGAATGGAATCAAAATAGTTTATAGAAAAAAATTTAAAAATAAAATAGTATAGAGATGTGACATTGTGATTGAGGCAATCTTAACCCTCCATTCAGAATGAAGGGTTGGACAAGAGGGAGGATAGAACTTCTATGCTGGAAAAAGCATAGAAAGCTTGCCCTAAAATGAACATATCTGTAGAACTTCCAAAACTAACCCTTTCATACATAAAAGCTGCCATAGAATGTACAAAATTTCAAAAAGGTATATCATAATATTCATAATTTAACAGAAGTATCAAATCATAAAAAAAAATAATTTGCTTTAAAAATATACTCCAAAAGTTTCCAGGAACTTCCGAAGAAACTGAAATGCTTACTCCAAACGTTCCCCGGGATCTTCCGCAGAAACTGAAATGCTTACCTTTTCAGTCTCAAAACCACGAGGAGACTCTGAGCATGGTTCAACTTCAACCAATTTAGCTTCAATTTCTTTGTTTTAATGGAGGATCGTTCAACTAAGTTTTCTTTGTATTAGGGGTCATTGGGAATATCTACACACAACTTATTTTAGCATTTTAATCTACTAAATGAGGAAAGAACATGCAACGCTCATTTCTACAAAAAAAAAAAATCCAATAACTGGAAGACTTCCAATCATTTATACATATCAAACTCCCAACAAATGCATTAAGAACTTGAATGTTCAAAACTCTTACTATTTCCATCAGAAAAAAAAAATCGAAAGACCTAATTGCACAGATTTTCAACAGAAATGAAAATTATGTACATACAACATAAGATCCTCAGATGCCATGGGATGGCTCTTCATCAGAAATTTAACAGAAAGCCCAAAGACCAAACATCACATCAAGGGGGGAAAAACAAAATCTTATAATCCCTCCAAAAGATCATCAAATCATGCAAGGTATCATCTGCTCTAATATTCTGCTGGGCCCATTTATTTCAAAGGCTTACAAAACAAAAAAAACTAAAAAAAAAACTCAAGAAAAGAATATATACAGAACAGATGTACCAGCAGTCTTAGTTTGGCAAGAAAGATGCCTCAAAAGTGAGAGCCTCCTCACAGTCTCGCAATATCCAATCAGTCCTCGAGATTAGATAGTGAAAATTGCACTCAACTCCACTGTTGAAAACAGAAATAGTAACTGAATAATCAGATATCCATCCAAGCCCAAAGAGACAATAGAAGAAAAGGACTTCCATTTCTCTTTTTTGTTTAGGCAATGTGAATGCAACACTCATAAAACAAATTAAATTGATGAAACAAATTTTTTTTGGAACTTGCTAACTGTAAATTGATGAACATTATACTTATAAAAAACAAGTTGCAAGCGTTTTCTATGAGCGCATGGAACCCATTCTTAAAATGATAAGAAAAATGGGATTTCTAGAGCTTAGGTAGAAAGGTTGAAGCCAAAAATATCCTATGAAAAATCGTGGAGAGACCATCACTAGGAGATAGATCACAGAGGACAAGAATGATCTATGGTTAGAATTTATGTCAAACGTTTACAAGTGATTACAAGCTTCCCTGAAGGCACCAAGTTGTCTTTTTCTTGGGTGAGCATTGGCACCACGATTGATTACATAAAGGGAAAAGTTTATATAGAGCCTAGGCTCTGAACAATCAAATTAGAGCCTACCTCAAACATTTCACTAGAAGAGGTTGTTTTAATGCCCAAATATGTTCAAATTGATCATCTCGACATCAAGATGCATGGACTTGAGATAAAAATGGATTTCCAGTTTTGGAAATAGTGCATATTGTAATGCATTTTTTTACTGTCAATTTTAAGTTATTCAAGTTTTCATAGATCTGCTCGATCTACACGATTTTTAAAGCTTTAAATTTTATAATTAAAGATGAAAATATATTTTAAGGCTAATCAAAGATTTCCAGCATTGAAACCACATTTCTCGATACTATTTCAAAGTGGGCTGAAATTTGATTGTTTAGAGCCCGGGCTCTATACAACCGCACCCTTACATAAAATACTCAGCTCTTGGGTACTTGTGGGAATTGGGCACTGACATAATTGGTTACAAGTCTGACAACTACAACACTACCTCCTAGATTAAATCCCACTTTGACCTACCCAAAAAAAAAGGTCCTTGGATAGCAGTGTTTAACATGGTATTAGGATCATCATCATCATCTAAGCATTATCCCAACTATTTGGAGTTGGTCACACAAATCATGTTTTGCCGTTCTGCTCTGTCAAAGGTCATACCCTCAGTCAAACCATAAGTCACCATATCTCTTCTTACTACTTTCATCCATGTCTTTTTGGGCCTTTTTTTTGCCTTTTTAGAGTCTTCTACCTAAACCAAGTCGCCCTTCCTAATTGGTACTCTATTAGACCTAAGTTGCACATGGCCAACCCACTTAAGTCCACTTTATCTCATCTTATCGCTTATTGGAGCCACCCCTAAGTTCCCTTGGCCCTAAGTTCCCTTAGATATATTTATTCTGAATACTACCTTTTCTTGTCTTGCCACGCATCCATCTCAACATCCTCATCTCAGCTACATTGGTCCTATGGATATGTTGTTTTTTGACCAACCAAAATTCGGTCCTATAGAGTAGGACTGGTCTTATAACAGTCCTATAGAACTTCCCCTTCAGTTTCATTGGTATGCAGCAATCACATCAAACTTCGATTGCACATCTCCACTTCGTCCACTTGTACTAAGATCAATTTCGAAATAAAAAATAAAAAACATGGCGCTAGTATTGAACAAAAAAGCATACACATTCGCCATAGTAAAATAAACTATAAGGGTAATAGACAATAAAAAACCAAATTCCACAATTAATTTACGGGCAGAGTGAATAACAAGAAAAAATAGTAAAACTGGAGCATTTCTAAAGGCCATGAAACAGACCATAATCCAGAAAAATATCCCACACCATAAAGACCAATCATGAAGCTGCAGAATCAGTAAATAAATCCTCCCTTGCACCATTCCCAGTTGTTATGGCCGCTGAACAATGAACCAAATGCATAGACAGCAAAGCTATCCCAAACCTTCAAGAAGATGAGCATCAACCTCTAAGCGCAGTTAGAGACCTACTTAAGACATGCAGTCCAACGATGTTCAAATCTGCTAGTTTATGATGAATATGATGGAGAAAAGATCAATAGAAACAATCTAGCCATGGAGAAGTACACAGGCATTTGACATTACTGCGTTTTCAATCCCAAGGGACAAGGCATAGCAAGGCCCATGTCCATCATCTCTGATAAATGCCATCAAACACTTGCAAGTACCCCAGCAGCAGTCAAGACTCGCCTTGAAATCCATTGCAATAAAATGAATTACGAGGAAATGTCCCATTTCTGCTGTTTGGGTATGCAATGTGTAGGCCAAAGAATGAGACAGGTTACCAAAAGATACCCTCAAAATGGTGAAATCTATTTTTCACCCCCAAGGATGAAAAATCGATTACAGGCTTAGTGGGTAACTCATCCCACTATTAGACCCACTAGAAATTTTCCAATGGAACGCATGCTCCCTTGAGTTCCATTTAAAAGATTGGAACCCTTCCCTACGCTCTCTCACCAAGCTCCCGCTTGAAGGACAAGGGCCATCACTCTCACTGCCCTCTCACCAAGCTCACTGCTCGATCTCTCTCTCTCTCTCAACTCACAGCTCTCTCTTAAAAGATGATGCTTACAACTCATCTCGCTCCTCTTTCTAAACAGGTGATCTCTCTCTCTCTCTCTCTCTCTCTCTCTCCCTCCTTTACACCCCCACCAATCCCCCAAAAAAATATACCGTCCTTTGTTTTAACCAGTTGGGTTGGGTTACTACTAATCCTCCACTGGAGCCATCAGCTAAACAAGAGACATGGATTAAATTGGACAATTAGATGGGGGAACTTATTCAAGGTAATCAAGTAAGAGATAGCTACCCTTCGAGGTAGGTGTTAATGCTTAAATGAGAAACATCACATAAGAGTATAGCCTAAAAGAATATTCAAAACAAACCAAGGTTCTGATTCCCTCAAATCTCAGTTCCAAATGCCATAGAAACATGATTTTATTCACACTTTGAAACAAAAAACCTGTTCAAAGCTCACAAGAAAAACTATTTATGTGTGGTTCTGGAGACTGGAACCTTGCCAAATATGCTGATCTACTACATATACTAGAGATGAAATGGGCTGCACAATGATGCCAAGCACAACTTGCCAACTCAGGCCATTCGTTGTTCCCTTCAAGAAAGATACCACCAAACCAACCAAGGGATTCACTACAACTTTGAATGAGAAAGTATTTGGAGGATCACCTAGTCTCAGATCTCAAGAGCTTTGAGAAGTCCAAGTAATCATCAAACATGGAAGTGAAATGAATTACACATTGCATGGTTTCATGCAAGCCTGTGCTACCTCGTTGTCTAAACATAAAATAACTTTTGGACATCCGAATCTGGAGAAGAGTTTTCACGTTCTAATGCAAAGGATGAGTAAGAACATATGAAACTTAATGTGGCAGAGTTAAGAGACGAGGATTTCCATTAGATTTAAGAAGCATGCACTATCCAGCCAAAATCGATTGTTTCAGATTAAGTATTTCAAGTCAGAGTATGATCTTTTTCAGAATAAATATTCATATTATATACAAGAATTTGCCAAAGGTAGGTCATTTTTTGCATAACAGAATGACCCACCACTCTTCGCTCAAAGTTTGGGCTATTGCTTCCCCTCTCACTCATTAGATAACTATGGGTATCGCGCTTTGAAACTCTCGGCAGTTCCTCATCAAATAACTTTCCAGCACAACCATAAGAAACATAGTCTAGGAAGATTAACCCAGCCTTTCTTTCAGAGCAACTAAAGCCTCTTGTAAGATCCAATTATTTGGATGCTTGGCCATGAAAAAAAAAAAATTCCTATGTGGACAAGTTACAAACATGTGAATTCTCCATGCCAATTGATCTATCCTTTGCAACGATAGCGGGGAAATGATGGATCACCTCTCCTCCATTTTACTGATGTAGGGCATATTAGGAGTCGATTTTTACAAATGATTGGAATAGAATGGGTAGTGCCACAAACCAGCAAACAACTATTTCACGCCTATTTTTCTGAAGTGTTAGTGAGAATGGAGATCACGACCGTTAGCTCAGGTGGTACTTCCATAGAGACCCAAGCCCTATTCAACCTTTTCAGGCCTATTTCTTGCCCGCACTACTAAAGGTGAGGCTAACTCTTTGGAGGGCCTCAAACCCTGTTTTGTTATGGAATGCATGGCTAGAGCATAATAGGAGGACATTTGAAGGTAAGAAAAGAACCATTCTAAATGTTAAGGAGAACATTAAAACAGAAGTGATTGGCTGGGAAAGATAGCTTAAAGGCTTCAAAACCTACACAATCTCGAAATTCTTAATAAAGTGGGAAACTATAACCAAACCTGCTAGGTCAATGAACAGTAGATCCTCATGCTGGCGACCACCGGAGCTGGGCAACATCAAATTAAACTTTGATAATTGCTCACTTGGCAATTCAGGTAGCGCAGGTGTGGGAGATGTCTTTAATGATAGTCAGGGATCTTTAATCTTTTCCTTCTTAAGGCCCATAGGCATTGCCACTTCATCTAGGTCTTCTTCAAGGTCTCAAGTTGTTCAAAGGAGCTGAGGCACCTCGTTAGTTGTCAAAAGGGATCCAAGAAACACCATCAACTGGGCCAATAGTTTCTCTAGCTGCCCATGGAGACTGGATGAAAAATTTTATGAGATATATTCAATAAGTGCTTACCTAAAATGTCACATTTCATCATACTTGGCAAGAGACAAATAATATTGTGGATGGCTTGGCCAAACAAGGGGTCGCAACACATCTCTAGTGCTCAACCCAGCCTGAAGTGTGGAGCCACCTACAATTTTTGCTCCTCTTCAGCTGTTTGGCCATTTTGCAATGCTGAGCAGCCTCTTTTGATGTAGGGATAGATTTCCTGATTTTGTCCACAGGATTTAGTGTAGTGCAATTGCTACATGCAACACTTTAACTACTATTTAAAAAGTTGCGTTCATTCAAACAACATTAGTCTCTTTTAAGGAGAAAGCAAAGAAGAAGAAGCAGAATTCATATTGCTGGACAGCTCTTCCAATATTGAAGAAAAACCCCAGTTAATTTTACAGCCAATTGCAGGGGCATGTAAAGAATTTCCACACAGAATGAAGGAAATTATGCAGATATAAGGAATTTACCTACCAAGATCATCATGCCATCTGAGAATGTATTTCTATGCATACTTCCAAAATCTAGTCACCCAATTAAGCTAAAACCTATCAACAGAAGTAGGAATTGGAGAAGGGTAGATGGTTCTGTAATGCTGCCATTGAAAATCAACAGAAGCAAGTACTAGAGAAGCACAAATGAATAATTTCAAATACTAACTGCTCCATTTATCAGAGCAGGATTCAACCACGATGAACTATGAAATAGTGGAAGAATGGCTCCACCCTGCAAAAGGGGTGGTATGAGGGAGATGGTGGTCGCAATTTGTACAAAGGAGGTGGCCGGAAATATGAGTTGAAGAAGGACGTGGAGCCCCAATAAGAGGATTTAGTAATTAAGTTTTAGATTAATTTATCAAATAGAGCAATATATGGCAGTCAAACCTAGAGCAATGCAGTTTATCTACGAATAGTACATTCAACTCCTTGAACGATTACAATGAGATACCACAACATAGATCTCTAGTGGAAATCAAGCTGAAACACTATAGTTGAACACATTAAATCTAAAGAAAAGGGAAAGAAGCAAAGAACTATCCTATATCACTAACCCATAATGGGCTTGACAGTACCTAAGAACGGAAATTACAATGCTACCACATGATTGATTCACTTGCAACATTATTATTAAAAATAGCCTAAAATAGCATCTTTGCAGAAAGCTCTAAGCTAGTTTTTTTAATTGAAAAAAAAAAAAACAGAAAAAAAGATACAACTGAAGCATTGTCCAAGGAGCATTAAGGAAAGACAATTTAGAACCTTTTCCATCTATCAAGTACAGAAAACTTCAAAAAGATATAGCACAAATACAGACCAAGAAGATGTTTATAAATAATAGAAAGTGGCAAAACTAGAAAAATAGGAACTACGCCGCAAGAAAAATCCAACAACAAAAACATTCGATAATTAGAATATGATGTTTATAGTACCTGCATACTTGATATATAGCTCCTTGATGAACTGTATGCAGTAGGAGAAGCTCATGATTGCACCGAAGGTGATCCATGAGAGGAATCAGAAAGTTTCTTTGGAGCCTTCGCACAGTTCCTCTGCAAGAGTGGTAGTGCATTAGTCAAAGCCTTACTTTCAAGAGGAAAATCCTCAGCAAGAGACTTTGTTTTCCTATCAAGGATCACTTTCATGCTGGAATGCCTTTTGATGGGCCTCTTTGAATCTGGATGAGGTAAAATAGACCTTTTCTTCTGAGGTTTCAAAGGATCCCCCTCTCGAGCCTGACTCTGTGCACAGTTAAACTTTGACAGTTTGGCCCGATAACCAAAAGGTTTCACTTTTGAAACATTTGAACTTGAGCCCCCATTCTCACCCCCCTTCCATTTTTGACTAGATTCAAAACCCGTGTCCAGACTGCTGTCTTCTCCACTAGAATTCATAGCCTTATTGGAACAACTTGCTTGTTCCTCTTTAACTGGGGTTTCAGGTTTCATATCTTTGACTCCAGAATTGTCTCCATCAACTATGAGAAGACCATTTTTCAAAGAATTCTCCATGTTCATACCACCATTTTGCTTCATGTCTACTTTCCCATCAGCTCTGCAACTCCGGAAAGCTCCTTGCATTGTGCCTTCCTTTTTCTCCTCATCTTCATGAAATGATACACCATTAATGGCTTCATCATCCCTCCTCTTCTTGAACTCTTCAACTGCCATACCTATAGAGTTGGCAAGTTCCAAAGCACCATTACCAACTGAAGGTTCAGCATCAGGGTGATCTAAAGTTCCATCTATTTTATCCTCAGTACAAAGATGAAGATTTCCGCATACACTCTGACTTCCTGATTCAGTCTTCAATATTGAAGTACTTTGTCCAATGACTTCTGAATCTCTTCTAAATCTTCTCTCATTCCTCCTAAACTCCTCATTCCCAAATCCATTTGAACAATTTTGTTTCTTTGTAGTAACCATACAATTAAACTCACACTTAGTAGAGTTCGAGAGCTTACACTCTTTCAATTGTATTCCATTAGGAGCACCTCTTCTTCGAGATATCCTTGGAGAGCTATTCATTGCACGATGCAATCGAAGAGCTAATTCTTCATCAGCAACTTCATGGGATTCTGGTAAAGACCCCGCTTTTAGATGAATCCCATTGCTTTTCTCTGCCCTATCAGCAATATTACTGTTACCATCATCACCCATCAAGGAAGCATTACTCTGTAATGATTCCTTGGCCTCATTCTCTTCTTGTTCAAGAATTGCCAAAAAATTAAGGGCATTTCTAGCTGCAGAGGCAGCGTTTCTAGCTACCATGGCTTTCCTCAACGCATTCTCCTTTGCTGAAGCTGCAATTGTCATTGCCCTTGCAGCAGCAGAGTTTGCCTCCTTTACAATCTCCTCGAGGGATCGACAACAGTTCCCATTAAAAGAAAATCTCGAAGCTTTCTCAGAAACTGAATCTGAAACATGTTTCTCAGCATCCTGGTATTTATTCAGTTCCGACTCCCCATCAATACATGGATTTTCTTTATCTAATGGCTTAATAGCTACTGAAACCATGGTTTTATCAACTGAACCCGAATTAGTTTCTGGAAATGAAGCTGAAGAAACAGACTTCTCAGCTTTCGAATCACAATCCCCAAAAACCTTCGTTTCCCCAAAACGCAACAAACTCTTAGAATCTTGAGTACCAAAACTATCAGACTTATTACTGCCACAACCAAAATTCAGTCGAGATTTAGGAACCCAACAATCGACACATAAAAATGAACCACTACTGCACTGTAACAGAGAGCCCCTGTGCTTAGAGGCACATCCCTGATGAACCCTATGATCGCATTTTCTACAGTTTAACACGCAACCAGAATTCTCCAAAGCACTAAAACAGTAGGAACAGTTTGTACCCGAATTCACCGCATTTAGGCAATTTTTGCAGAGCAAAACCACTCTCCACTCACTGGCCAGAGTATGAAGCTTGTCTTTTCCCTTTCCGCTAACCAAATAACTGCAGGAATGGCACTCAGAAATCCTGGGAAGCTCCTTGCTAGCATTAGGGTTTCCAATTTCCATTGATTTCGCAGAGGATGTGGAAGAACGAGACTCCTCAACCAAATGGTCCAAATCAACCCATCCATTTTGTTTCAGACCAGCAAGCAACCTCTTTCGAGGAGGAAGCGAAGAAGAACCAGCAGCATTCAGTAATCTGCTCGCTTCTTCGATCTCTCCTTTCTCCACCATTTCATAGAAACCCTAATTTAACCGGAACCCTAATTTCACAGCGATTTACAACAAAACCCAACAAAATTTGTGGCAAAAATAACTGAAACAACGATCTAAGCTCTCAACTTACTAAGCCATCATTCCAGCCCCTGGTTCCTTAATCAACACGCGAAAAAACCCTAAATTTTCACAGAAAAACAAGCAGAAAAGCACCAGCTCAGACAGAATTCGGTGCAAAGTCGTTTCCTAATATACAGGTTACCATGTCACCTGCCACTTCATCCATTTAACCGAAACCCTAATTTTGGAACCCTAATTTTCCCACATAATTGCGGTGTAAAAGTCCAACAATTTCCTTAAAAAGGAGGAAAAATCTCACTTTCAGGGTTCGGAAAAACAAAAAGCTAGGGCACCATGAGCCTGATTTTTATGGATTGATATGATATAAAATGTAATCTTGAATGAGAAGAATTACAACATTGAAAGCGAATTGTGATGGAGTTTTGTTTATTTTTATTCCTCAATTTAAGAACGGAAGGGTGCCATTTGTATAAGGCCGAGGCTCTAAACAATCAAAGTAGGGCGCGCCTTAGAATGGTGCCGTTTCGATACTAAAATCTTTGTAATAGCCTTAAAATTTATAGAGCTTCTAAAATGGTGAAGATTGAGCAAATCTTTAAAAACTTAAAAATTGACTGTCTAAAATTGCATTATAAGATACACTATTTTCAAACCTTAAAAATCGATTTTTTTTCTCTTGTTTATGAATCTTGAAGTCGAGATTATCAATTTAAAGAATTGTTTTTCTTAGTGATAATGTATCGGATTTTTTAGCATCAAAATAGCCGTTTCGAGTGAAATTTTTTAGGTACATCTTAATTTAATTGTTTAGAGCCTCTCAATTATATAAATTTTTTCTTTTTAAGGGAGACAATGTAGTTGTCTCATGTGATACCTTGCGGACCTTTGTCTATCTAACGTCCATCTTGGATGTCAAAAATGTTATATCCACTAAAAGTTTAAATGGATGGGTGGAGCAAGGAATTTAAAAAATAACATTTATATTTTTAAAAAGAGAAAATTTTCAAACTTAGATCATTGTCATGTTAAGATTATAGAATTCTAAAATTTTACATAAAAAATATATTTTGTAGAGAGACCGATCAAAAAATAGTGTTAAGATTATAGAAATCTAAAATTTTACGTAAGAAATATATTTTGTAGAGAGACCGATAAAAAATAGTGTGAGTCGGCCGACTCACCAATCACGTGTCCAAGATATGAAAAACGAGTGAGGCTTGTATTTATTTATTAGCTGACTCAATAGAAAAGGGTCACCCAGATAAGACAAGGGAGCTAAGCAGCCAATTGGGACTGCACACGTATTACTTTTGAGGCGAGATTTTCTCGTGTCGTATAATTATATGTGTTGTAAAAATGAAGGACACGATTTAATTTGAATGAGAGGATACAATATTCTCTACAGGGAGCTTACTGTACATCTCCTCCCTCGATTAAAAACTACTTTTTAGGAGAATTTTCTTTTTAAAATTTTTAGAAAATAAATAATAATTACTAGATGATTATTTTTAAAATAAAAATTTAGAATTTAAGGTTTATGAACACTTAGATCTAACCTTTTAAAAACTAGACGGTCTCTATTCAATCTTGATGCATAAGTTTTTTTAATTATGGATTTTATTTATTGGGAAAAGTTTATATAGAGCCGATGCTCTAAACAATCAAATTAGAGCCCACGTCAAAAATTTTACTAGAAAATGTTGTTTTGATGCTCATGTATCCTCAAATTGATCATCGCGACATCAAAATACACGGACATAAGAAAAAAAAGGGATTTCAAGTTTTGGAAATAGTATATTTTGTAAAGCATATTTGGAAGCTCGATTTTTTAGATTTTCAAGTTTTCACATATTTACACTATTTTTTAAGCTTTAAACTTTATAACTATTTTTTAAGCTTTAAACTTTATAACTAAAGATAAAAATATATTTTAAGGCTATCACAAAGATTTTCAATATTGAAACCACATTTCTTGATACTATTTGAAATGTTCTAATTTGATTGTTTACTACCTAGGCTCTATGCAAATCGCACCCTTTATTTTTTTTTTGCGAGATTATTCGGGCTGTAAAGATTACATCCCAAAGGTTGAGATGGATAGTATCCTCCCTAGGGAGGAGGAAATATTTTAGCAATTTAAATATTAAACTCTACTTTGGCGAGCCATCCTTTTGATATTTTCACCCAAAAATATTGTATTTTTGAGCGGCAAGACTATCTATTTATTCCATCAGGGAAAACCCCCAAAAAGATCAATTTAGGATCCAAATTTTGGGGAGATGACCTCTTCGACCTATAAAATAACCTCAATAAAAAATAATTTCCTTATTTCACCCTCCATGTACTTAAAAAAAATGGTGCCTTAGGAGAAACCCAGCTTTTTAGATGTTGGGATCTAAGTGCTTGGAAAGATTTTTTTAGAAAAATAATAATAATCATCTAATAAGTGGTTCCCAAAATATAGATTGAGAAAATCACCCTAGGTCTTGGGAGAGAGGGAGTAGACTTACACTATGCTCCCACAAGAGTATAGTATAGTTTCTCATATAAAAAATAGAATGTAGATACTTGTAACTATTTTATTTATGGAAAAAGTTTATATAAGTGTGCAACCTAATAATGTAGAACTACGGATGCACGTCAAAAATCCATTGGAAAAGGTAATTTTTAATGTTAAAAAACCCTTTGATTGATCATCTCAACATCGAGATGTATGACAATGAAAAATAAAAAGATTTTAAGTCTCCGAAATAATGCATTTTACAACATATTATTTACACCGTCCATTTTCAAGATTTTCATATGTTTATAGATCTACTTGATTTTAACCATTTTTAAAATTTAAAATTTTATAATTAGATATAAAAAATAGATTTTGAGATAATCTTAAGAACATTTTACATCAAAATCATACACCATGATAAATTTTGAAGGTGCACCTTACCTCTACAGCTACAGATGCATCTGTATGCCAACTACACCATTTAGTTATTGGGTCAGGTTTGCATAAGGTTGTAACTTAAACAATCAAAATAAAAAGCACCTCCAAACTTTGTCATAAGGTACAATTTTGGTATCAAAATTTTTTAGGATTGCCTGGAAATTTATTTTCATCTCTAATTATAAAATTTATACTCCATAAATAGTTTAAATCAAGTAGATTTATAAATGCATGAAAATCTTGATAATAGACCGTCCAAATAATATGCAGCAAGATGTACCATTTTTTGGACTTGAAATCTCATTTTTTTTCCATATCTATATATTTCGATGTTGAGATGATTAATTAGATGGTTTGCCAATGTCAAAATAGCTTTTTTAGATGAATTTTTGAGATACATCATAATTCTATAATTTAAGGTGTCAACCTTATATAAACTTTTTTTTGTATTTATTAAGGGTATGGTTTCTATAAGGTTGCAACCTTAAATAATCCAATTAAGGCACACCTCCAAATTTTATCATAACACTAAGAAATTCTTAGGATTATTTGAAAAACTATTTTCATATCTATTTATAACATTTTAAACTCCAAAAATGGTTAAAATCAAGTAGATCTATGAACATATGATAATCTTGAAAATAGATGGTCTAGATAATGTGTTGCAAGATGCACTATTTCTAGGCGAGGGTTTTGGGCTTTACTTGCTCCGTACAGTTGCGTGTGGTGCGAATTTTGGATAATTAATATTCGAACCTCATAGGATGGGATGGGAGGGTTAGTTTTTTGTTTCTTTTTTTTGTTTCTTTTTTTTTTGGTAATTCAGTGGGGAAGATAGGCCCTTACCCGTTTTTTCAATAGATTGAGTTACATTTTGAACATTTTTTCAATAGATGAGATAGCTACGTTTTGATGGTGTTAATTAGAGGTGTTACCCGATTTTTCAATAGATTAGAGAGTTACATTTTGAAGGTGTGCAAGATGCACTATTTCTAAGCGAGGTTTTTGGAATTTTCTTGCTCCGTATAGTTGGGTGCGGTGTCAATTTCGGATAATTAATAATTAAACCTCATTGGATGGGATGGGGGGTTAGCTTTTTCTTTTCTTTTCTTTTTATGTAATTCAGTGTGGAAGATGGGCCCTTACCCATTTTTTCAATAGATTGAGTTACATTTTGGATGTTTTTTCAATAGATTAGAGAGCTACATTTTGAAGGTATTAATTAGAGGGGTTACCCGTTTTGTCAATAGATTAGAGAGTTACATTTTGAAGGTTTTAATTAGAGGTGTCAACGGTAGGAATGCTACCACCACGACCCCAATCCATTTCCAAAGGATGGGGTTAGTTTGGTTTGATAAATGATGCAGGTATTAAAATTTTCGCCAATTTATAGAAAACGTTTGAATAAGAAAATGCATGTTCGTTTGGCTGAAAGATATCTTTCTGAAAGAAAAACTTTTTTATTTTTTCTAAAAGTTGAGTGTTTTGATCTGAAAAGTTTAAAAAAGTTCTGAGTACTATGTTTGATAACAAATATATATTAATAATATAAATATAAATATATAACATAGTATAATATATAATATAACATATTGTATAGATTTAATATAATAAATATATATTACATATAATATAATACTATAAATATTATATATAATATAATATATTTATATTATATTATGTCATACTAATAATACTAATATTATGTATTTATATTATGCATGTTTTTTCTAATATTATATAATATAATATAATAAAAAGTATTATAGTATTTCTATAAATTATTATTTATTTATTCATATTACATATTAGTGGAATATAATTTATATATCAAACATACTATTAATATATAAATAAAATATTATATAATATATTATGTTGTAAATAGTTTATAGTGGATAGTGACAAAAACATTACGAAAGATTAAGTTTCTATATCGGAACTTAAACTTTTCATGTTTTAACAAAGAAATGGAAACTTTGTTGAAAAATATCTTTCAAAAAAAAAAAGTTATTGCACGTGAAATGGAGAACTTTTACCAAATTGAAAAGGTTTCTTTTGGATAAAAATATTTCAGGCAAACAAACCCGCCCTCACTGAAATTTTTCCTTCTAGATAAATCCTTCTAGACCAATTACGAGATTCTAATTTTTTTTTTTTTAGTCCTCACACACTTAAAGACTAAATATAGTGTAAACAAATTTATTAGTTAATGAAATCACTTCGAGATCTAATGCCTATACGCTAAAGCTCAAAATACAAGGTGGATATTTTGGCGAAATTCAAAGAATGTAAAATGTTGACTAGGCCAATTTATTCTTCTATTTGTCCAAAAAAAAGCCAATTTATTCTTCAAAGGTACCAAATGAATGTCAGTGAAATCTTTTATAAAAAAATGGAACGAATAGAATTTGAAAATCAAGATAAAAGATAGAAAATAACGGATTTTAAATAAAGGAAAAAGTATATATAAGGGTGAGGTCCTAAACAATCAAATTAAGGCGCACCACAAAAATTTAACGGAAGAACTTGGTTCGATACTAAAAAAACCTCAATTCGATCATCTTGACCTCAAGATGTATGGACATGAGAAAAAATAGATTTCAAAATATAGAAACAGTGCATCTTATGACGTATTATCTAAACCATCAATATTCAAAGATTTTCAAGTATTCATATATATACTCAATTTACACTATTTTTTAATCTTTAAATTTTACAATTAGAGATGAAAATAAAATTTCACGACATCAAAAAGATTTCTGATGCCAAAACAATATATTTTAGAACTATTTAAGGATGCACCTAATTTGATTGATCAGGGCCTCAACCTTACACAAACGTTTAGTAAAGAAATTATAAATATAACCTTTCTAGTTTTAGTAGCTAAGGTGGTTGATTTTTTCTCTTTTAAAATGGGAGGAGATAAGAATCAGACAACGGAAGGCACAACGAATAGAATATTCCATCGTCTCCCTACTGAATTACCAAAAAAAAACAAAGAACTTGAGGACGATGTGAAAACCACATTGTGGTTTTCATTCCCACAGCTAACATCACTCCATTAATACCTTTAAAAAGCTAACTCTTAATCTACTTACCTATCTTCCCTATTGAACTACCAATCTACTTAAAAAACAGGTAGGGGCCTATCTTCCCTACTAAATTACCAAAAAAAAACAAAGAACCTGACGACGATGTGAAAACCTATTATTATTCCAAGTTATAGAATTTAAAAATCCAAAAATAAAACTAATCGACCAAATATATAAATACTAGAAAATACTGAAAATAGACGGTCTAAATAATTTGTTACAAGATACTATTTTTAGGACTCGAAATTTTTTTTTTTTCATCATATCCATACATCTTTAAATTAAGATGATCAGATTGCATGGTTTTTTAATACAAGAACACTCTGATTTAGAACAAATTTTGAAATCTACATTCCTTTAATATGGTTTAAAAAAAGTGAGTACCTTAAAATTTCTGTCCTAAGCCCAAGTAAAAGAGCGATTGTATTAGATAGCCATCCAACATAAATCTTTGTAAAAAGAGTTCATGAATCCCAAAACTACATTATCTACACATCCTAAAGCATTCTTTGTAAGCTACATGCAATATCCATGTTGTATCATAACTAAAGTACAACGAAAAATAACAAAAAAAAAAGTATGGTTGTAAAAAATAAAAAAAAAAATACAAAAACATGATATGATCCTTGATAGAGCAAAATAGTAAACAAAAATTCATACAACCAACCCTAAATAGTTTGAGAGAAAACTAATTGTAATGACAACGGTTGGCACCTTATATAAACTTTTTCCTTCAACATCCAAACTAGTATCTTATTTAAAAATGAAAAAGCACATTGTTTGTCTGTTGAGTGCAAAGACCAAATCAAGTTGTCTCGAAGTCCAATGTCCGTATTACTTTTTCACTGAGAAAAAAAGTGACAAGCAACCAATAAAAAAAAACCATTATCTCAAGAGATTGTATACAATAAAACTATTTACCTTTGGTACAAAAAATTCACAATTACTTACAACCACCCGACGTGAAATCTGACAGCATAAGTATATCATAAAATTTGAAAAAATTTCTTTTTTACTTTAAGCTTGGCCCATGAAATAAATGCAACCACCAAATTTCATATCAAATGGTCAAGATTAATTGTGACCACTTTATATCAATGGTAAATAGTCTCATTATATACTTTCCCATATCACAATTTCCGTAGCCACCGGTATGTAACTTTTTTAGTGCAAGTAACTTTGTTCACTCAAAAACAATAGAAGTGGGTTGCATGGTGCGGGGTTCAAACATTGCAGGTCGAGCATTGGACTACCGTTCTTTTCAATTCAAAAACTTGGTACCGACATCCAATGTCATTTCCAAACCACTTTCACTTAACCAAAAAAAAAAGAAACAAAGACACCGGCTACAGCATTGAATACCCGAACGTACTTTAGAATAAAACAAATCTCCTGTACTTCAACCCCAAAAAAATGAATATTCTTTTATCTAAATTATACAGTTCCTCTCTTTAACAAGAGACCTACAGAGAAGGAGCTTTCTATGTATAAAATCATTGAGTTAGTTTAATAAAGAGAAACAAATAAAAAGTGTTTTTGAGTTCTCAAGCGCTGAAATACGAAATCAATACCATGCTATTTTATAGAGGCGCTTAAACTTCTAGAATGCATATTCCATTTCTACTTTCAAGAATGTTTAACGAATGATAAGTCAAGTAAATTACATCTCCAATAAATGGGGTCAAAAAGTCAGGAACTAGGAGAGAGTTTGGAGGGAACATTTCCAAAAGAGAACAAGAGAAAATTAGCGCGCACACACAGAGAGATAGTCCATACTACAAAGTAACTATAAAATGGTAAGAACGTCCTAGACAACAAAACACCAAACTCAAATAGGAAAATGGGCGAATCTACCAGGCAACAACAAACCAAACCATTCAACACATTTAACCCCGGCACTATGAACAACGATTTCTATGAAAACATCTTTACCCATCTTTTCAAACACCTCATGATGACAAACCCAATCCAAGAAAATCCAAAAATCTGGTATGCTTGATTGATATACATCATTCCTTTGGTGTATCTCTATTTCTTTGCAGTATCCTTAGTCATCTGAGAGATCAACGAAAAGTCAATTAGCCTGCACTGATCTGAATAGAGAATGTATTTAAGATCCCACGGATTACCATGCGAAAACCACACTCCACTAAAAAGCCATCACACTATCGAATGAAATGATGGAGAAGACCCCTAGAGCAAGACATGAACCCCAGAACCCCACGATGGATCCCACTCTCCCATCACCACTCCTCATTTCATTGAATGGTGATCACCCCCAGTAGATCACGGTTTTCCATAGTCCACTAGATTATTGCATACTTTCCCATCCCAATGTGGGTTGAAAACATCATCACAGAATTTCATACCTCCTGTACTAGATCCTCTAATTCGATTCCAATCTCCAAGAAAGAGGGCCTTTCACGAGGATCCCCATTCCAACATCTCTGCATCAATGCTAGTAGCCTAGGGTGAGCATTCTCAGGTAGTGATGGCCGCATCCCCTGGTCAAAGAAAATCATAGCGGTTTTATAATAGAGAGACCTCATAAAATCAAACTAAAAGGGACTAGCAAAAATGACAAATATACACCAATATCACGACTAAAATAAAACACACAATTCAATTTTTAAGTATTATAATTTCTTAATTAAGTACACATATTGGTAATTTGGTATCTTGTGTATCCTTGACTTAATGAGCGCATTTTGGTAATTTTTTGTTTATGGGTATTTTAGTAATTTTGCTGCAAAATGGTTGCACATGAACCTATGTAGCTTGTAAATTAGTGAATTGTCAACGAACAGCATTTTCAGTGTCACATTTTTGGATGAGGGACTGGTTATAACCTCTTCTTTATTTTTTTTAATACAATATTCCACTTGCATAATATTAAATGCTTATATCATCCTGGTGAATCAGTAATTCCAGGGCCAGGCTGGATTTCAACCAGTATGAAATATCATCAACAAATTTACAGTATATCCCCTTTGATCGCTTGGGCACCAACCCAAGACGAAGAGACTGTTTGATAAGCCACAGTTAATTTCTGAAGTCCCTTACCTTACCTTCAAGGGAAGGTGAATCCCCACTGTCTCCTTGACCCTGAGCCACTAGACAATAGGGGCATACCACCCATAGCCATCATATAATATCATATAATATCCCCTTTGATCGCTTGGGCACCGACCCAAGACGAATTGACTCTAGACTGCTTGATAAGCCACAGTTAACTTCTGAAGTACCTTAACTTACCTGCAAGGGAAGGTGTAGGGGCATACCACCCATCGCCATCATAATATCATATATATGATTGTTTTTAACTAGATCCCAGCAAGCTTTTCAACATTTAAGTCTCTAATGTTCATTCACAAACCATCGATCACATGTAAGTTTTTGGGTTTTAAGGCATCAATATAGATGGTATGCCACGATATTAATATCCGTTCTTTTTATAACCAAGTGAAAATAAAGACAGCAAATATAACAAAGTCACAGATGTTGGGCTTTGGCCTCTATGTCAAGCGAGGACCACAGAACTAGTGTCAAGTTTTAATCCTAGCCCAAACGCCCAAACGAAAAAAACAGAAAATATTATGCGTGGAATCTAAGACTTAATATATGCAACCAACTGGTGAATAATCAATCCAAGTTCAAAAACTAAACAATTCAGAGCTTCTGCATGTAGTTGATAAGCAAATCTTGGTGTCAATACTTACTAAGAGCCATAAACATATCAAATGAGCAAACAATAAAAACTTAGTCGTGTATTAAAAAAAATAAAAACTTTTAGTAGAACCACTAACCTCTCTCACTCCAAGGGCAGCTTGAAGAGGTGTCAAGTTATCATAAGGAACCTGAAAAGCATCACCATTATTCCACAAACTCCATCAAGGGAAGGGAAAAAGACTATTTCGTTACATGGATATTGAACTAAAAACTATAGAATGACAAGTAAAGCTAAAGGTGCACCTTGGATGTTGCTAGCTCCCATAATACTATACCAAAACTGAAAACATCAGCTTTCTGATCATATGGTTGATGATTGATAACCTTGCACAAAATAGAATATATTGGTTGCTTCAGTCGTTTGACAGCAAACCAAGAGCATGGCCATACATAAAGCAATATAATTTCAAGTATGTTTTTTTTTTAGAGTGTTAACCTAAATATAATATCTAGCATGTTACAGTGATAAGTATTTCATTTTGTTTCCTGTTTGGAAACAAAAATGTTTCACGAAAGTGAAGCTTACAAGTGGTATATATACAAATGTTGGGCATAGAAAACTGCCCAACTACCCTAGAAGAGCGTCACAGAGTTTGAAGAAACCATCATGGACCTTCTCTCACAAGGGAGCCAAGGAACTGATTGGTTTCCAAGTGTCAGGAAGACACCCTGGATATCAGCTGAAAGCCCATGTGACAATGTTGAACCAAAAAGAGGAATGGTAGTGAAGCAATATAGGTATTAATGACACTATAAATCCTCTACAGTACAGTTAGTGACCACTCATTGAACCAAAGACATCGTTTTTTTTATCCGTGTGTTTATATTTAAGAAGCAAACATGCAATTCACACATTTGTTGATCAGCTATAATGCTGAAGGCAGTAAATTATTTAAGTGATACCTCAGGCGCCATCCATCTGTATGTGCCAGTTTCTGCCGTCATGGTGCCACCTTGATTTTGAAAACGGGCAACACCAAAATCAGCCACTTTAACAACCTTGAAAGCCAACAATTTTCACAAGAAGTTAGGCAAGTTTCTTCATGAGGGGACCAATTTGAGCAAGATTTCCCTACCTTATTACCAAATAATAAATGAGAAGTGACTTTCACAGCAATCAATATTAAATTTCTGCACTTTCCTATTTCTTCATGAGTTACAATGGTCTCAATAAGCCAGAATTTATAGAAAGGACATCATTAAATGTGGCATTGTACAACGTACACTAAACATTAATAACCACCAAGCCAGCGATTCATAATTTAGCTACTAAATTTTATTTTCAAGACTTTAAGAGAATTGGGCTTTTGTGTGTGTGTGGGGGGGGTGGGAAAGCAAATGAAAATCTTGGCAAAGTGAATCATCTCTCAAGTAACTCGTGATGAAACTGACATATTTTGTAGATGCAAACTTCACATACATACATTATCAGAATCCATTAGCAGGTTGGCCGTCTTCAAATCCCGGTGAATTACGTCAGTCCGGTGCAAGTATTCCATTCCTTTGCACACATCGATTGCAAACTTGAGCAAAAAAGAAAGCTCCAGAATATTCTGATGCTTGTGCAAAAAATCATATAGACTTCCTCCTGACATGAACTCTGCAATGAAAAATTAAGTAACCATGGCATGAAAATTGACCATCAGAAAGAAAACAATTATTTCCTAATTAATCAAATCCATAATTAACATTTTATTGCTACTGTGTTAAGTGCAAAGAAAATATGCTAAAGTGGAATAAATAGTGTTTCTTTTCTAAAAATAAAAAGGACAACTTTCAGATATAGATCCATGAGTTCTAAATCACCATCATCCTAGCCGTATCCCAGCAATTGGGGAACGGCGACACCAATCATATTCCACCATTCTGCTCTATCAAGGGCCATAACCTTAGTCAGACCATAAGTCGCTGTATATTTTCTCAATAACTATATGTTTTTTTAGTATGTCCATCCATGTCCTTTAGGGTCTTTCCCTTGCCCTTTTAGAGCCTTCCACTTGAACCAAATCTCACCTCCTAGCTGGTGTTGTTCTAAGTTGATGCTGCCCATGACCAGACCACTTAAATCTGTTTTCCCTAATTTCATCGCCTATTAGAGCTACCCTTAAGTTCCCTCGAACCTATTCATTCCAAATTCCTTGTTTCCTTGTCTTAACGCTCATCCGTCTCAGCTACACTCATTCGATGAGTATGATGCTCCTTGACCACCAGTGCTGGTCCCAACCAAAGAAGAAAAAGGAGTGTTTTGTATTAGGTTGGTAGCCAACGGAAAAATTCCGCCACATCCCTATCATGAATCCTGATCCAGTAGTTCAAAATAAAATGAAATTTATAAGTTAATCAGTCACAAGAACAACCTTAATGTGGCGAATAGTCCTCCCAAACAACACAATGATCTCAACCTCACAAAGAGCCTACATGAAGTCGCAGTAGGTGCATTCTATGGGAAGGAGCAAAGGGGTACAAGCCAATGAAAGTCATTATGTCCGGTGAAAAAGGTATCAAAGGCCCATGCAATGATATTTTAACAAGAATAACCTACACAGATTTGTCATTGGGATCTTCCAAGTCCATAATAAAGCTACTTATCTAATACATGGATTCATCTTTTCCCTTGAAAGCTAACACTCAGTTTTATCCACGAATTTGTTGTCAATCGATTTTACCACTCAATAACCATGATTTCTTCTTTCTTTCTTTCTTGTTTTTTTTTGGTTTCATTTCTTATTTTACCAGAAAAAGAGAAAAACAAACAACGTAACAACTGGAGGGGGGAAGGGGGGGGGGGGGGTCAAGTTCATAAAACCTAGGAGGCTAGAAGCAGCCAAAAACTAGACATGTAGAGTCTCAAACACAATATGAGCCAGACTCAGGATGATTTGAGCTCTCAATTCTCTGAAACTGGGGAAATGTGGATAACACTTTTATAGCATCCCTAGAGAGAAATACAAAGGACTCTAAAGTATTGCAATATGAAGAGTGATACCTGGGAAAATACATAAGGTGGTAGTCTCATCATTCCATGCAGGCCATAAATGTACAAGGTAAAACACAAATAACTGAAGCAAAATACCTGTAACAATACATAATTGTGGAGGTTTCGTGCATGCACCAACGAAACGGACTACATTTCTGTGTTGAACTTCCCTACATGTAATAAAATCACATATTTTAGTAGTAGAGCATCAGGTCTCATAATACGTACCAGCAACAATATATAACTGTGTCGGTTTTGTAACAATAATAGTGTTGAATAACCACTAAGATAGAATAATTCAAGTTAAAAAAAAAAGAAAAAACAAAAAAAGAAAAAAAAAAAAGAAGGCTGTAATATATCCTCAGATTGTATTGCTAAAGACAAACATGAGATGGATGGAATGAAAAGTCATACATGATCCACAAGTCAAGAAAAGCAAGTAATAAAAAAAGGGCGTGAGGTTTGTATAAGGCCTGAGGCTCTAAACAATCAAAGTAAGGCGCACCTTCAAATAGTATAGAAAGATGTCATTTTAGTATAAAAAATCTTCATGATGGCCTGAAAATTTATTTTCATCATCAAATATAAAATTTAAAGCTTAAAAAATCAGCAGATCTATGAACACTTGAAACTCTTGAAACTTGACTGTCTAGATAGTGTATTACAAGATGCACTATTTCCAAGACTTGAACTCCATTTTTTTTATGTCCATATATCTCGAGGTCAAGATGATCAGATTTGAGAGTTTCTCAACATCGAAACAACTTCTTCAAGTAAATTTTGAGGTACATCTTAGTTTGATTGTTTAGGGCCTCAACCTTATATAAACTTTTTCCATAAAAAAATAGAGGCTAGCAAATCATAATCTGCTGGAGTCCTCCCCATCCCATGAAAGATGGTCAGTTAAGGAGAGAAATTGGGACCCACTAGAGCAGATCATGAGGCCCCGTTCTCTCTCCACCATCCATCATTTCGTTAGACAGTGGCCAAAGTACTGCGGTTTCACATAACCCATAGAACAATCAGCTACTTCCCCATTATATAATGCCACAAGCACAAAGATCATATCATTAGGAAAAAAATAAGCTTAAAGAACAAGTAATCAATTTACAATATCTCAAACACATTTTTCAACATTTACAATACAAAAAAGAAGCCTCACAAACACAGATTAAGGTTTTAGCCTGACGATACAGACAAAACAAATACTCTCAAATTCAATATAATGACAAGAGATGCCGCACATTATATGGAAGAGACAATCAAAGTATTAAGGCATAACGTAACTCTTACTGGTCAAACTAGGGCAGAATGTAAGATGATATACAAAACACAAAACTATCCAACTTTGATACAAACTCCAAAGGCCATCATTTCATACACCATAAATCTACAAAAAATTCAACACGAAAAAAGATAGAAGATTTGAAAGACCAATAGAAGTATAAATTGTAAAGTGAATGCCAGCATCATCCAGTACCAAAACCAGCAAAGTTTATATCAAAGTCCTAAATGAACAAAAGATGCCTCACTTAGAAAGGAACAAGAGAAAAGATTTATTGCGAAAAAACCCATCCCAAATTAGAAGCATTAAAAGAAAGTAGAGTACCTTTGGGAGTGATTTCTATTATATTACTAACATGCAAAAACGCCAAAAACCACATCAATAATCAATATCCAACTTGATGTTAATTACATTCAAAACAGAAATTGATAAAAAGCAACAACTGAAGTGGTTCACATCCCATGCTCAATACACAAGGAGAGGGACTCTCAAAGATCATCACCTTAATATGGCAACTTCTTGAGCAAATTCAACCTCCAATGCCTCACTTAAATTCTCAGCTCTTATGGTCTTTATCGCAACATCCTGACCCAGGTAAGTGCCATGATACCTATAAAGGAGAAAGGTAAAGCATATTAAACAAAATAATTATAAAAACATTAACTGACCAAATACAAAATTCATAGCAAAATGAATGAAGCATAAGCTTCCATTTGATTAGGACTTACAAATCACCACAGGATCCAGAAGCAATCTTCTCTCCCATCTTCAAGAAACGTTGGTCAATTTCCCAATCCCCAAGGTTAGGAATTCCCCTTTGGATCCTATCAACCACTGAATGTGATGGGGATGAGCCTGACCATGCAGCCTACAATCTCACCAGGAAATGCCAATTAGACCTCTAGAAGCTTTCAGAAGATGCATGCAGAAACATGGTGTACCAATAACAACATATAAAAGAGGACAATGAATCTTTCTTAACATCAAAAGGAGTTGCTCACAACATGGAATTCAACAAAGATTAAATGCATAGTAGCTAGAAGGGATAAATTTGGGAGATTAATCGAGAAATCAGTGATAGAACATAATACTATAACAGAAGAATTTTACAAAAATATGTGTGGAGAAAAACAATACAGAATTATTAGATGCTCCTTAATGTGAAGAGTTAATGCTTCAAATTAAAGTCATTGAGATTTGTAGAAAAAAGATCAAAATTCAAATACGAAATGCAGTCATGACTGTCAGATTGGCAAAATCCAATCTAGGCCGTTGTGCGTATATGCCATTACATCAGCCCTTGAGCATATAAAAATTAGTCCATATATAAAATTTCAACTATTCATGTGACTTTGGTAAACCTCGCACTTGGTAGGGTGAAATATTCACTTTCAACACGTCCCAAGCTCAAGTTGTCTGGGCAATTATCCATATTTTCTATATAAAAAACAATGGGTATTGCATATGAAGTGTCGATACGTATTCAATCCATCAAAATGACCCAAAACGAACAGTTAATGTGTCGGTGGCAATGTCGGGGCGTGTCAACTAGTGTCGATATGTGACAGAAAGCCCCAAGAGTGTCGGGATAGCATTTGTGAGAAGTAGAGAACCAAAATATAGATAACCAAAATTTGGCTCAGTTGACGTGTCGAATAAAATTAAATTGAAATACTCAAACATGCAATTAAAAGAGACGCATTTTCAGGTCAACAGGTTGGGAAACTCCTAGGTCTATCAACACAAGTTTCATAATCCCTTAGATGTCCAAAAATGTAATCAAACACAGTATTTCCCAAATCTAGATTCAAATCTTCCAGCTTCCACACTCCAGAGCATTCTAGTTATCCCGTTTCCAGTTGTCAAACACATCCTTATATTTCTAATGCCAAAGCCTTCTGTTTTTCTAAAAGGCAAACCGTGCTTTAGCTTACTAGGTGGAATTCATGCTAATCTTTTGAGTCCCTCGAAAGGAAATCTCTTTGAAATATTAGGATTCTTTTGGATATAGAGGCTGGCATCTTACAAAAAGACATTGAATAAACTGGTAATTTTGCATGAATAGCCTGGATAAGGCTAAACTCAGCTCCCTTAGGGATCAATATCTTGTTTTCCAAATTGCCAACCCTTTATTTTATATTGTTAACATTGCACAGATAGAGAGAAAGGTTACAAAAGGTCCCCGAGGGAGAATACATGTCACCAAGACAGGTGACTAAAAAAGAAAACAAGTATAGCGAACTACAAGTATTAAACATATAGGGAACAGTCAACAAAATGATGGGAGAGGGGGTGAAGGCTTGCAAAAAGGTCGCGACAAAACCACTGTGAGGCTCCATTTTTAGCAAGAGCATCGGCGACTTGATTGGCCTCCCTTCAAATATGAGTCCAAGAGACCGACCTGCATATTCCTGCAAAGATCGAAAATGTCTTCAAAGATATGCCAAAGTCTCCAAGGTGGGGCTGATTTGCGAGAGGCCCAGGATATGACGTTCTTGAAATCCCCTTCTATTGAGAGGGAGGGACCCCAGGAATGCTTGAAGAGCCTGAGGCCTTCTAACAGGGCCCCAACTTCAGCCTCCGTTGAGTCCGTTGAACCAATGGAGGAGAAGGAAAGGAGGGAAATCCCCGCATGATTTCTAAAGATGCCTCCTATTCCTGCTGGTCTTGGGTTGCCCAAAGATGATCTGTCGAAATTGAGTTTGATCCCGCCCTCTTTGGGTGGCTTCCATTGGGCGGATCGAGGAATCTTCATGGGCCTATGGTGGAGAATGTTGACCCAATTGAGGAGAAGTCCGATGCTGACAGAAGCCTGAAGTGACTGTGGTTTGTAGCCCAAAAGATTACCATATCCCTTATGACTTCCTTGATTTTGTGGATGGGAGAGTAAAAGGCCTAGGAAAATTCTGCTGTTGTGTTCCTTCCAATGGCTGCAATCGTTGCTTTCCAAAGCATGGCTCCTGATTTGGGACACGGTAGAAAGGCTGATAGCTGGAATAATTAGGTTACCGACTCAGGGGTTACCCACTACTAACCAAAAAGTTGAAGCATAGCATGCCAGGTTATACCCGCGAAAGGGCAGTGAAAAAATAGATGTGCGATGGTCTCCTCATGGGAGAAACACATCACACACCTATTATGGGTTTGGACTCCTCTCTTTTGGAGTTGTTCAACCATAAGAACTCTGTCCCACAGAGCAATCCAAGAAAACACCGGAATCCTAGGGGGGATAAAGGGATTCCAAGCTTTGGGGACAGATGAGAGGACGACTGCAGTCCCAAGAGGGGGTTAATTTAAGAAATAGGGAAGAAACCGAGAAAGCATGCGGCAGGATGAAAGAAGAGAAGAGAGAGAAAGAAATTCTGAGAGTTCTGAATCCTGCAATGGTCGGTGAAGATCAGTTCTTGAAACACCCAAAGGCGGGAGCAAACGTTCGATAGAGGCAGAGGGATTCCTAGCACGCCAAAAAAGTAGAGGGAAGCGAGAAGATAAAGGTGAGGAGCCCAACCAAAGATCAAGCCAAAATCTAACTTTGGATCCATTCCTAGGGTGAAATCGAATGAATTTCTTGAAGAGGTGGATGGAATGGGATATGGACTTCCAAAAACCTGAGGAGGCTTGCAGTGAGGAGTCGGGTATGAACCAAGGAGAGGACAAGAGGTGGTATTTATGGGTTAAGATGTCATGCCACAGTTGGCCTCCTTGAGTGGCCAGTCTCCACCACCATTTACATAAAAGGGCCAGGTTATTCTTCTTTAGATTTCGGATTCCTAGACCCCCTGCTGCCCTGGATTGGCATCATACCAAATTCCATGCTACAAGGTGGTATTTTTTGGAGATTGTCACCTGACCAGAGGAAATTAAGCATTAGTTGCTGTAAGTGGGAGGCAACCAAAGCTGGAATGTGAAATAGGGACATTTGGAAGATAGGGATTCCCAATAGAGCCGCTTTTATGAGAGTTGTTCTCCCTACTGGGGAGATATATCTCCCTTTCCAAGATGCCAATTTCGTTTCGAATTCATCAATGAGATGGCTCCACTGGGCACTTTTGGGTTTCCCATGGCAAAGCAGTAGCCCGAGGTAAGTAGAGGGAAGTGAATTGATGGCGCAGCCCCAACCATCAGCTAGGGCTTGAAGGAATAGATCAACTGCTATGCCTATCATTTTTTATTTTTCAAGATTAATTTTGAATCCCGTGGCAAAATGAAAGCAGCTAAGGAAGTGAAGTAACTTGTCCACCTGGATACAGTCGGGCCATGGGCCCCAATTTTGAATCCTTTTGCTAATCCAGCTTGGTAAAACCAGGACATTGCTCTGCTGAATACTTCAGCTGCTATGGCAAAGAGAAAAGGGGATAAGGGGTCGCCTTGTCTTAGGCCCCAAGAAGAAGCGAAGTAACCTTTGGGAGAGCCATTTATCAAGATTGAGAAAAATGGCAGATGCAACCCCTAATCCATTTTCTCCAACGCGGGCCGAAGCACATTCTTCTTTTGGTTTCATCGAGCACTTTCCAATCCACAAGGTCATACGCTTTTTTCCAGTCTAATTTGACAATTAGACCTGGGGTTTTCGAGGTGGTTCTTGAGTGGGATGCATTCCTGTACTACTAAAGCACCATCCAAGATTTGATGATCTTTGACGAAGGCACTCTGATTTGGACAGATTATCGAGCTTAAAACTGACTTAAGCCTAGATGCCAAGACCTTTGCCAAGAGTTTGTATGAACTGTTGATGAGGCTTATAGGTCTAAAGTCTTTGAGCTCGACAGCTCCTTCAATTTTGGGAATGAGAGCAATGAACTTCGCATTCATGTCCATGTTGACCATTCATTCCTCTGGAATGAAATTCAGAAAAGCATGCGAGGATATCCGGACACATGAGGTCCTAGAAGCGATTGCAGATAGCCATGGGGAATCCATCAGGGCCTGGGGCTCTGCCTTGACCTAGGGAGGTAATGGCTGATAAGATTTCAGATTCAGCAAAAGGTCTTTCAAGCCAGGCTGCTTGTTTGGGGGAGAGGAATAGGAGGGATAGATCATCCATGAGGGGGGTAGGCCGGAAGGGGGCACTGAAAAGGTTTTGGAAGTGCTCAATAATGGTTCTTTCGATAGATGGGAGATCATCTATGGAGATTCCCTGGTGAGAGATAAGGGAAATCGAGTTGTCCCTTCTTCTACAGTTTGCTATCCTGTGGAAAAAGGCAGTATTGAGGTCGCGACAGGACAACCATTCGACACGGGACCGCTGAGCCCAGAAAATTTCTTCTTTTCTGAGAAGGGACTGAAAGTCACTTTTGAGTTGGACCCAAAGTGAGAATTCATTGGGAGAGAGAACGGATTGAGATCTTCTTCGGACTTGATGCACAAATAGATGGAAGAGCAGCAATTGGCATCTTTCTATCCTGCATATCCGTAGAACTCAATCTCATTAGAAACCTGCACTTTTTCAGTAACTAAACGGGAAGATCTTTGATCTATTAAGGTTATGGGTCATAAAGATAGCTTAGCTTAGGGTTGGACCTCCCAACTTCTATGATGTCTAACTGCTGGATGGAGGCTAGGAAGGAGGAATTCTGTTCCTGGAAATTGCCGAGTAGCTGCAAACTCCAGGATTTCAGGCTTTGTTTTAGGAAGGATAGCTTCTTTTCGAGCCTGAAGCCAGCCCAACAGAAAACCGAAGAGGAAAAAGATCTCCACCACCCAGGCATGCTGGCAGTGAGACTAGGTTCTTCTAACCAAGAGAGTTCGAACCAGAAAGGTTTGGGGCCCCTGGGGATCTGATTTGAATCCAACAGGATTGGTTGGTGGTCTGAAGTAGTCTTAGGCAGGGCTAGGGATAGAGTACCGGGGGGAAGAAGTATCCCATTC